GGATAACTTTGGTTGTTGTCATCGATGAGACCGGTGCCATTTCCAACCACTTGGAATAACTGTCTACTACAATTAGGAACATCTGCCCTTGGAAGGGGCCTGCAAAGTCAATGTGCACACAAGACCATGGGGCGTGCATGGTCTCCCAGTTGTGCACTAGTACTTGTGGCATCTCTGGTTGGGTTTCTTGGCAGGCCTGGCAACTCCTTACTTAATTCTCAATGTCCTTGTCCAGGCCTAGCTAGGGCCTTCATTCATTCCCTTGTGTAATGAATCCAGCATCCTGAAGCGAAGACTGGTGGAATGATGTCCCTACTGCCCCACAGCACACATTCCTTGTGGACCGACAGTTCATTTTTCTAAGAAGCGTAGTGATGGAATTCAGGGCCTGACCGGGTCTCTAGCCCCCCCCCTTAACACGCAGTTGAGAATGTGGCTAAGCGTTCTGTCCATGGTAGTTTCAGCTACAACATCCCCTGCATGTAGGAGTGCTTCAGGTAGGTCCTGGATCACCAGGATATGACAAGCTGAGGCTGGGTCCAGATCAGTATGCGGTAGAGGCAGTTGGCTGAGAGCATCGGTGTGGCCCATTTCCTTACCTGGCTTGTGGACTAGCCGGTATGAGTATGCAGCCATGAAAATGGACCATTGTAGCATTCGTGGCGACAGGATCTGCAGTGTCTGTTTGTCTGCTGTGAAGAGACCAAGCAGAGGTTTGTGGTCTTTAAAGATGGTGAAGGTTCGTCCATATAAAAAGTCGTGGAACTTCTTAATGCCAGCCACTATGGTGAGGGCTTCCTTATCTATCTGGGCCTAGTTTCTTTCAACTGATGATAATGTTCTAGAATAGTATGCGATGGAGCCTCTCTACCATTTGGCATCCTGTGGCTTAATACTGCCCTAGTGCCATATGGCGAAGCATCACAGGCTAGTGTTACTGGTAGGTTTTCATTGAAATGAGCTAGGACAGAGTCCAATGATAACAATGATTTTACTGCCTTGAACGCTTTGTCTTGGGTGCGCGACCAGACCCAGGGATTTTTTTTGTCCAGTAGGCAATGTAGCGGTTCTACCAGGGCAGCCTTATGCAGTAAGAAGGAGTGGTAAAAATTGAGCAAGCCCAGGAATGGTTGTAGCTCCCCCTTGGATTTTGGTGTGGGGGCTTGCTGAATTACCACTTCAGAGGGGTGGATTCTGGCAGCATCGATGCGGAAACCCAAAAATTCTGTGGATTCCACGCCAATCTGGCATTTTTTCTTCTTGAGTTTTAAACCTGCCTCACAGAAATGTTTGAGTACTGTATGGAGACATTCCGCCAGGACTGCCGCTGATTCCCCTACAATCAGGACATCATCAAAATATGGGCAGATGCAGGGAATGTTCTTTAGTGTTCATCCCATAATACTTTGGAACAACCCTGGTGCTACGCTTACCCCAAACTGCAAGCGGCGCACTTGGAATGCACCTCTGTATGTGATGATTGTTTGTGCTTCTGCAGTAGTGTCGTCTACTGGTAGCTGCTGGTAAGCCTGGGCGAGGTCTAACTTAGTGAGGATGTGGCTCAATACTGGTACAGGGTAAGCATGTTGCTGTAGTGCCTTGTTTATGGTGCACTTGTAGTCTTCACAGATGCGGATGTCCCTGTTAGGCTTAACTGGGGTCACTATTGGAGTCTCCCATTGGCTACAGTCCATCAATTGGAGCACTCCCTGCTGTACCAGCTTGTCTAGTTCCACATCAATTTTTGGCTTCAATGCAAAAATTGAAGCGTGGTTTTAATCGGATTGGAGTTACTGCTGGATAGAGGTTGAGTGAAATGGGTGCCCCTTTGTATTGTCCCAACTCTGTGTTGAATACATCAGCATATTGTTGACATACTGCTGCTAAATCAGCTATTTGTGTTCGATGGATGCCCATCACTTGATGCCCAGGGCCTTGAACCAGTCCAGTCCTATGAGGTTGGTGTGCGATCCCTCTATGGCCACTATGCAGAGGGGACCCTCGAACTCTAATGGTAGCTTCCCCCCTTACGGGAACACAGCAATTCTGAAAGTCCGTTAGCATTAAGCTTGATGATTTGAGCAGGACCCATCATCGGCTACATTTGCAAATGTGGTCGAAGGTCCTGGAGGAGTTAATGGACAGGGCCCATCCAGTATCTAGCTCCATGGAGCATGGGACCCCTTGCAGTTTTAGTTGGAGTCTTATCTTTTCTTTGATGGAACGTTGGGCCCCTGTGCATTGGATGCTACGCCTTCCTGAGCAGTATTCCACTCTGTTCTATCCTGGGAGCCATTTCCCCTTGTGCTGCTGTGTTGCAGGTTTCGTTTCCCACTGACAACCTCTGCAAACTCTGGCAAGGTGCCCTTGCTTTCCACAGGCATGGCATACTGCTGTGCAGAATCTGCATTCTGCTCTTTCATACTGTCCCCTGCAGCTTGCGCAGCTCTGTGGGGAAGTTGTTTGCTCTGTGGAGTGTGGCCATCTGGGTGGCTCTCTCCACAAACAATTGATTTCTTCACTCTCACTGGCCTCCCCCGAGCCTTCTGTGGTGTCTTGGTGGATCGCTGTGGGGCTGGTATGTGTTTTAGATGGCTGGAGGGTCTCCATTGCCCTATGGCAGCCTCTTCCACCATGACTTCCTTCAAGGTGAATAGGTGCTGCTGTAATTCTCTATTATGCAGGCCACAAACGAGCCTGTCTCTGAGATGGTCTTCCAGGTCAGGGAACTCACATTGGCACGAAGCATGGTGAAGGGCTACCACAAACTGCTGCAGATTCCCTGGATCTCTGCTCACATTGCTCAAATGCATGGTGCCAGGTGATTACTGAGAGTTTCAGCTCAAAATGTTCCTTAATTTTTTCTTGAGGTCTGCATAGGCCACAGTCTCTATACTTGCCGGTGCTATCAGATTTTCAGCAATATCAAACGTGGCTTGTCAGCAGAACATAGTAAAGTTGTCCCCTTCAATACTTGAACTATACATCTTTAATAATTTCTCAGGTGTCATACCAACAATACATCATTTTATAGGAGTCCTCTCTTAAACACAGTGTGAATTTCATCTCATTTACCTCTATTGGCTCCTATTTATGTAGCTGTGTATAAACCAAAACGGAAGTCCATTTTATCATGCAATCCTTAACTTGTTCCTCTTCAGTTTCAAATCTTAACAAATATTTATACAGTTTTGCAATCACTTGCTTATCATTAATATAATTCATTTTCAAATTCTATCTTGTGTTGTCTATGTTATTTTTTGTCTATGTTAAACCTTTCTCTTAATTGTTCATATGAACACTATTGAAACTGTATTCCTCAGTTTCAGTTGTTCTCTGAATTTAATATTAACTGTTCCTATATTAATCAATCTTGGCATGTTAACCATTTTTCTGTTGTTTCTTTTCTATAAAATGCTAACTGTCTGGAGGCCAATAAAAGTATTTTCAGACATAGCCTGGGTTTGTATTTGTTTCATATTCTTACTATGGCACTTCTCACATTTTAAAAAAAATCTGCATTAACTTTAACTTTATCATACTCTAAAAATCCATGCCTACCAAATCTCAAGTTGTGTTTTTCAGCAATCCCCACTGTTTCATCAAACCAAATTACAAGCCGTGAAATACAATTTAAAATCAGATAATATTAAAACTTTTGTTGTGTGTCTTGAAGAATTTTAGATTTAACCCTTGGTTTCTTATCAAGCCATATAAATCTGAATATATCTATTTTGCCATTGCTTAAAAGGTGCATCATTGTTCAAAATGGGTATTATTTGAAATAGTAGCGACAGTGTGAAAAACGTATTTTAGAAGAAGAACACATTCTGCCTGAGTTGAAAGTGGACTTAAAAATAGCAGGCTGCAAGAATGATGAGGTAAAGATCTTATACTGGACATAACAAAGAAACTGGATGATGTCTTAATAATTAAGAAGGTCCTGGAAACAATAAACCAAGAGTGACCTAGATAATTGTTCTATACTGGATTTTAAAAAGAGGGTTGTTAAGGTTGTGAGAATGTTGTAAGAAGGGATAAAGAAATAACGAAAACATGTTCTACGACATTATTTGAATGGATTAATTATTAGGTGTAGGAAAACACCCGCAGAATCTGTAGTCAGAATTAAAAGAGGGATCAATTTAGAATCCCTATGTAGCCACAAGCAAACTAAGTTCAACCTTGCTTGAATTCTGTTAACTTTTATCTAACTCCAAGCAGGTGCTGTCAGTTGAAAATATTCCCATACAAAGGCATCAGTAGCAATAAATCAGTTTAATTAGACCTTCATGTGTAGACCTGATTTTTTGTGCCTGGCATTAAGATTGTTAGAAGTAACAAGAAAAATATAAAGTTGGTTTATTTGATCAAAGTTAAAATAGATACGATGTACTCTCTGGTAACTCTTAATAGACTTTTGCTGATATCAGGACTGAAATAATGGTACTTTATGGATTTATTTATAGAAAAGAGATGGGATATGGGAAGATAAATTATTAAAGAAGATAAATTACTAAAATTGTTTATATTTTTGATGACCGTGGGAAGTCACTTCTTTATGTATTGCCTTTCTTTGCTTTATTATATTTTTATCTTTCTTTTCTATTTCTTTCTGTTTCTTTTTTTCTGCATCGTCTACTTTCTTTTTATTCTATTTTTTTGTATTAGTTTTTAACTGTTGTAATTATACTGTTCTTGATGATATGTTTTCTGTGGAATGCTATTGTTGCTCTCTTACCCAATATATAGAAATAATAAAAATTTTATATACCGATATATTGTACTGTTTATCTAAAAACTCTGTTGAAAAATATGCTTGTTTATCCTGTTTCAAATCCCAATTTAAGTACATGTTGTGCATAGCAAAAGACTCTTATATCATCATGGAGAAATGCAATGGGAGGGAGGAGCAAAAATATGTCTGGAGCAATAGAAAAATAAAGGAAATGTGGGTGGTTGCTGGAGTCTATATAAAGTGGACTGTAACATCTAATAAAATTAAGAATTGCCTCATCTTTCCACAGGATAAATAGCATAGCTCAAGAATTAGTGGAACAGCATCCCTCAGTGCTTCCAGCCAGGATGCCCCCTCAATCAGGAGCCAATGGGGGGAGGCCAGAGACTGAGCCAGGGGTCCCACGGCTCTTCACATGGGAGGAGGTGGGGCTCCGCACAGGCAATGGAGACTTGAAGGAAGAGAGATGGCTGGTAATCAACCGAAAAGTCTATGATGTCAGTCAGTTCTATTTGCAGCATCCAGGTGGGCCTCATCTCATCAGACACTATTCTGGACAAGATGCCACGGTGAGTCCTTGCTGAGGGGAAAGAGGACCTTGGAATGACCTGAAGGATACACAAAGCACTTGCTTTGCACGAACACACTCCAGGTTGTGTCTTTAATAGCAGAATGAGAGGGAAAGTGTCCACCGTGTCTGAAGCCATAAGGAATTTCTGACATTACAGAATACAGGTAGTCCTAGACTTACAACTAATTGTTTACAATGGTTTTGAAAACAGTGACTTACAGTCAGTCCTCATATTTATGACTAATGATCAACATCTGGGTGCTTGGTAACTGGCATATATTTATGTGCTCACTTCAGTAGTACATATACTAAATTGGCATGCATTAACGATGGTCGCAGCATCCTGAGGTCATGTAATCACCATTTGCAACCTTCCCAGCTGGCTTTCAACAAGCAAAGTCAATGGGGGAATTTGGATTTGCTTAATGACCATGTGTGATTCACTTAAACTGAAATTATTTGCTTAGAAACTGTTCCCAAAAAAAGTCATAAAACTGGACACGATTCACTTAGCCATTTTGCTTCGCAACATAAATTCTGGCCTCAATTGTGGTTATTCTTCAAGGGCTACCTGTAGTTGTTCTGGGTTGGACAGCCCAGTGCTTTGACACACAGTAAAGAAGCTCAAGGTGATGGCTGTGTCACCTGGCAATTTTGTAGTACCGAGTGCCAAAATCTGACCAAAATTTAGAAGCCTCATTGGATAGAGGACAGGGCAGGGGCCTGGCAGCTGATCCCCGGAGAAGCAGGTTGCAGTGATTTGCAGGCTTTCTTTTTTCCTAGTTTTGGGCCAATGTTTGCCTGCATCTAAGTTACTTAACTTTACTGACAATGTGAACAAAATACATTTTAGATTTGAAGACCTGCTCAAAAGGTGTTTGTGCAAAAGCAGCTTATATTTTGCCTAAGCAAAATTCAGTCAGGAAGACTTTCTCAGTGAAAGTGTATGAGTAATATTGGTAGCAGAGAAGTGTGACCTCCAGTGCTTTTTTTGTCATAAAATGCAACGGAACAGAGTTCTGCCAGCTTTTTTTGACGGATTTTCCAAGTTTTAAAAGTAACTTTTGAAAATTTGATGTTTGGTCCATGTGGACTTGAATCGCCCTGTCAGGTGTAGCAGGTCGGCGGCAAAATCATTAACACAGTGCATGCGGGCTGCTTGTGTGTTGAGTCCAATGCATGTGTACTTCCTCCGCGCTGGTTGTGATGGTGCTGCTTGGTTTGTGGTACTGCCCAGCTTGTGATTGGTCGTGTGGTCACGCACTGAGTGCTTACTGCGAGTGGCGACCATTATGTTTCGTTACACAACCGATGTGCATGGGTATGTTTACAGTGATTGACTACATTCGAAATATAAATTATTTCTTTAGTTTAAAAAATTGTTGGTGAATTGAAAATCTTTTTATAATTTTTAGTATAAAATTTACTATGAACATTTGCTTAAATACAATAACTTAAATTTATGTTAAGAACTGAATATATAATTTTTTAAATAAAAGATTAACAAGATGTGAGTTCTGGCACCTTTTTTCTTACAAAAAAAGCACTGGTGTCCTCTATCGAGTATTTCAGGATTTTAACATTTTTTGTAAATGCAGTGGAGACTGGATTCTAGATAAGTTTAGAATCTCTATTGTATATTTCATAATAGCATGATTTATACAGTCATAATTTATAAGAAATATTTTGATTCGATGTTTAAGTAAAGCTATTTGAAGTAATCACATAATAGCAATAGGACATTGGTGGTGAACCTATGGCATGGGTGCCAGAGGCGGCACTCAGAGCCCTCTTTGTGGGCACGCGCACTGTCGCCCCAGTCCTAGACCTTCAGCTGAGTTTTATAAAACCTTTTCACTTTAGGCTTCCGCCGCCGTGTGCAAAAAAAAAAAGTTCAATCAGTCAATTTCAACTTCTCGTGGGAAAAAAAATCTTGCAAAATTGTAATTGATTGATTGAACTTTTTAGTCCCACCCAGTCTGCTGTTACCACCACAGCCATGCCCAGCCAATGGGCCATGCCCAACCAATGGGCACACCTACCTGGCACTCGATGATGCATAAGTGGGTTTTGGGTTGCAGTTTGAGCACTCAGTCTCTAAAAGGTTTGCCATCACTGCAATAGGAGTTTATATGCTGCAGTTGGAGGACTGAGCTGTAGCTAATTTCATCAGATGTCTTTATTAAGGCCTTCTGAGACAAAGTGAACCCTCTTGATATATGTAGGTTTACTAATTTCCAGGTAAGTTTGGGATCTGTACCCTCTATTGTATAATTCTCATTTTTATTATATGTTTTATTTTATGCAGCATAAAACCATCAAAACAAGAATTAGCAAGATACAAAAAAATGAGGAAAATGTGTATACAAGAAATATAAGATTAACCATAAACATATGACCTCCACCCCAGTTGAATGCTGATATCTGAATCTCACACAAATCGGATAGTTTCACTCCCTTGCATTATTTGTTTACAACTAGTTATACATTTTTCATATAAGCTTATAAATTACTACTTTACATCACATTCTCTTAACAAATATCTCAGATATTCAAATCTATTGTCTATCAATCAAATCGACCCAATACCTATTTACTGTAAAACAATCTGTTAACTGTTAACCCCCCAAAATATATTAAATTTCAAAGCCCTCTGTGAACAGCCCATTATTATATTTAACTCACAGAAACTCCACAAATGGCTTCCAGTCTTTTATAAACTTATCCAAACCATTATCTCTAATCAGCGCAGTTAATTTCGCCATCTCTGCCAATTCTGTCAGTTTCAAAATCCATTTTTCCACTATCGGTATTCCTTTTTCTTTCTGATATTTGGCATATGCAATCCTTGCAGCTGTCACCATATAAAAATTGTTGTTTTTGTTGTTTTGTTGATTTATCCATAATATCTAGGACAGCGGTTCTCAACCTGTGGGTCAGGACTCCATTTGGGGTTGAACGACCATTTCATGGGGGTCGCCAAACAACGCAGTCTGCCATTTTTCCCCCCTTTCCTTAGCTGTGCTACTCCCTTTTATTCTATTGGCTTTTGAAAGCCAATAGAATAGACTCTCTTGAATAGAGTCTAATTCTATTGGCTTTCAAAAGCCAATAGAAATTGTCCAGGCTGTCTCTGCCCTGCTGAGCCCGCCAAAAGTCCCATTCTGCAAACGGTGCTGCAAGTTGTCTGCAGTGAAGGCAAGCTGTCTGGAAGTTTCCACCCCTCCCTGCTGAGCAACTACTAAAAATGTAAGTAAAAGAGGACCAGGGGTGGGAGGTGGGAGGCCGGCGGGTGCAGGGAGGGTTGCTGGTGCGCGTGGGGCCCAGCGGCTGCCTTACCTCCCTTGGGCTGGGCCAGCTGATGGCCCAGCCGGTGGTCAGCCTGTGCTGTCTCTGCAGCTTGCCAGCTACGCCTCGGCCGGCGCAGGGGGTGGCACCAGGCATGCGCGGCGCTCCTGGGCAGTGAAAGTCCTCGACTTACGACCGGTTGGGTAGTCCTCGACTTACGACCAGTTGGGGGTCATGGCATTAAAAAGGTTGAGAACCACTGATCTAGGAGAAAAGCTTCAGGTTTCATTAATATTTGTGTTTTAAGCATTTTCTGCATAACCATTATCACATTTATCCAATATGATTTAGCATGTTTACAAGACCATCACATGATAAAATTATATATTTTATAATGCAATTTCATAATACAATGGTTTATAGACCAAGAATATATTTATCAGAATTATGGACTTTTTCTAGTTACCTGTTGTAATGTGCATATATAAAGATCAGTAGCTAAAGCTCAGAAACATCTTCTCTGTTCTTGCACATCTATCAGGGCTTTTGATCTTGGAAGCATCTGCAGTAAATGAAAAAAGATCATACTTTCTAGAAACATACTGTAACTTCTAGACATAAATAAATACATAATATATTCTGCCCTCCAGTTAATGTACGTGGGACATTAGAAAATCACATTTTCTTCTTGCTTTCACACTCCTATTTTCTCCATTCTTGCTTCTGACACACAATCATGTAGACAAACCCTCCTCCTTTTTTCCCTCACAGACAGCCTTGAACTACTTTCTTCTTTCTTTCCAGCATTCAGGCCTGAGAGCTCAGGAAGCAGCTATACTGTCAAACTCTGTTTTTCAGACCTAAATGCTAGACATGCCTCTATTGTTTTTATGGAAGTCACCATGAAGAATTTTTCTCTGAGGCAGGATCACATAGAAAAGATGTTTAACATAGAATGCCAAGTCAGACCTGCTCTTAGACTATGCTCCCTTGATACACCCCTGCTCTGCCTCCCCATCTCCCTGCCTATCTTGCTTGGAGAACAAGGCAGCCATTTACACCCAGGTGCTTTTCACAATAGCTGTAACCATGCTTGTGTGCTGTGGGGAAGAGCTGTGTATGGGCCAATGGAGAGGAAAGTGGCTTGTTAGAACCCAGCAGATGGAAAGTAGATAAGGAAAGGGCTTGATGAAAAGGCTTAGACATTATTTTAATTATCAGGAGAATTAAGATTAGACTTACTGATAAAGTGGGCCAATCCATACTCTATTATTGCTAGAGTGTAGCAGATGTTGAGCAAGATCTTTCCAGTGGCCATTTGGAGAGGCACATTGAATCATGGCAAAACCAGGAAAGAACCGGATCATCTCAAGTGCCCAGCATTGCAAGGGAGGAAAGTCCTGCTCTGCTCTTCCATCAGATAAACCAAAATAAGATTGTCTCAGCCCTCAAAATGAGCCATTGTTGCGGAGCTGGTTTCCTCTAAAGCTTGTTGGAGAAAATCACCCTCAGGATATTTCATCTTTTCACAAAAAAACTCCCAGACACCTACCCAAGAGTAGGTTTTAAGATGGGTGACTATGCAAATGTCGTAAATCAATACATTTTCCTTCATACACCTTTCTTTCTGAATTTCTTAGGCTGCCTTTATAGTTTTCCACAAGGATGAGGATCTGATAAAGAAATATTTGAATTCCCTGTTAATTGGAGAGCTAACACCGGATCAACCTAGCTGTAAGCCCACCGAAAATGTGAGTATTTCCCAGCATTATCTTTAGACCTCAAGGTGTGTCCATGTGTGTCTGTGTCTGAGAATAAAATCCATGCATAAAATGGCAAAATCCTGTATTACAATTAGAGCATGGGTTAGACAGAACATAAAATACATGTTGTTGCATTGAAAGTTCCCTCAGTGATTTGTTTAGAGTTCTACATTTTACAGTACTAATTTCTTCCTGAATGACAACAAGCCATTTGTCTTCTGCTAAATTAAACAATTTAAATGAAGACACCTCTCTAAAATTAGCATGTGCATATAAAAGAAAATATGGTTAACACAAACTCTAGTTCTGGCACTGAATACAAACTACTAGGATGAACATGTATTTAGCAGTATTTTGAAGATGCTAGAATTTATAGAGGGGAAATAAATAAATAAATAGTAGCCCTGTGTGGCCTGTTAGCCTTTAATTTAGCAGCTGATTGATTACAACTGATGCATCTTGATCTGAAAATTTGCCCATTTTTACATCAAGTAAGTCAACACACATCAGGGCAATGATGACCTTAGATGCAGGATTTTCTTTGTAGGATCAGAACCTTCATTGTTTTAAACACTTAAGACTTATTCATTGTTGTATTTATTTACTCAATTTATACTTCACTTGTCTAATCAAGTGGAACCCACAAGGAAATTTAAACCTGAAAATGCATTTACAAGCATATGTATAGCTATATGCATATGTATGTGTTAAATATGGTTCTGCATGCTTGTTCAGGAGTAAAAAAGAATCATTTTACACTATCACAAGTCAAACCATAGTCTGAGAATGTATAGCATTCAAGAATGACTAGTTTGTTGTAAGAATAGATGTTTATTACACAGTTTAAATATGAGCTAAAACTTCCCTTGGTATGTTCTTTCTTAAACAGAGCAGCTTGACATATGTTGATAAACTGCAGTGAGCCTCATTCACCTTGTGATAATTAATGCACCTTCACTAATTTCTTTAAACTATCTCTTATGCAATATTCGTTCTGGCTAAAGTGAAGATGAGGAAGCAGCAGAAAGTACTTTTCACATGTATCTGCTGAGACATTGACTCAGATACAAATAAGCAATTGGGTATAACTTTTTTGGAGGGTAATATATACTGCTCAAAAAAATAAAGGGAACACAAATGTATAGGATCCTATACATTTGTGTTCCCTTTATTTTTTTGAGCAGTATATTTTATTGATTTTTTAAAAACATAAATCACTTAATAATTGGTGAACAGTGTGTTGTCAGAGTTTACATTTGTAAATCAATCACTAACAATTGATTTCTATAATCCATAATCCACATAATGGTTTTAGTTGATTTTCTCTTTTCCCCGAATGTCCTCTTTTGCAAACATTGAGTTAATACAATTCTTATTGTTTTGATAGATAACAATTAAATATATATTTTTCCCAATGATCCTAAAATAATAATCACATCAATATAATATTTCTTTTCTATCCAATCATTCTGATTGCCTTATCATAGATCCTATTACAGACCTTATTTAAATTTGTTTCTCCCACAAAATTCAAAGTATTCTTACTGGTTAAGATTTTCTCAAAAATTAATTACATTTAAAGATTTAAGTCTATTTTTTCTGCCATATGAACCATCTCAGCACTTTTACATTTCTTAAGGAATAGATAAAACAATAAAAAAGAAAGGAGAACAAGAGTAAAGAAACATAAAAAAATAACATACTACTTAACATATACAGTATATCTCTCCTAAGCTAATATATATTTCTTTCCAAGATTTCTTATTCTTTTTAACCATAATTAAAAATATGTTTAATCTTTAAATATTCCATTTAATATATCTATTCATCTAGTCCTTTAACTCTTATTCAAAACATTTTTATCCATTAAAATTTTCTTAAATCCAATCACATTTAAATATCTAAAACATTTCCTTTATCTAAGCCATTTCAACTTCTTTATATTACTCATATCAAGAAATAGAATAAAAAAAGGGGGAAACCATACTATATTATTTGAGAGATTCATCCCTCTTAGAATGACATATATATTCCAGATCTTTTCTACTTCTTTAACCATATTCAAACAAATATTTATTTTTTAAGTATTCTCTCTGATAGATCCCATCATCTATTTTGTTGATTTCCACTTTAGTCTTTTTCCTTTGCCCAATATATTTCTTGATCAATATATTTTGCTGAGTCAAAAAGTCTTTCCACATATTCATAAATGTTTCTGTAGATTTAAAAAGTAAATCAGGTGAAGTGTCTTTGTACGGGGCTTCTGCCTTTCCATGTTTGTTGAAAATCTTTTTCTTTTTCTTTCTTTCGGCTTCTCTTTTTTTTTTTATTGAAAATTTTTAAAAGTTTTTACAAATAACAACAAAAAGAGACAAAACAACCCTCACCCAATCCCTCCCAAACCACCCCCTCCATCCCCCCCCGAGCTTCCCAGAACTGAATATAGGCTTAATTAAGATTTTAAGAAACCTAAACAAATTTTAACAACTTATAAAATAATTAATAATAAAATATATATGACATAAACATTAAAAAGAAAAAATACTTAAAAAGAAAAAAAAGAAGAAAGAAAGAAAGAAGAGAAATAGGAAAAAAAAGAAAACAGTCTATAAAATATCAAAAATTATATACAAGTTATAAAAAAGCTAAATGATATTTTTTTATATCCAATTTATATTGTATAAAATTTATCCATTTCTCCCATACAACAAAAAATTTCTCTTGCGATTGTTCCTTTAAAAAAGCCGAAATCTTTGCCATTTCCGCCAAATAAGAAACTTTAAAAAACCACTCTTGCAAAGTAGGCAAAGATTCCTTCTTCCAATATTGCTCTACTAACAGCCTTGCGGCTGTAATCAAATTTAACATCAATATAATCTCCTTAGCATCACAATCAGTAACAATACCTAACAAAAATAATTGCGGAGTAAATTTTACCCTCCTTCTAAAAATTCTTTGAATATTCCACCATATCTTAATCCAAAAAGCTTTTATGTTTTTACACGACCACCAAATATGATAATAGGTGGCATCCAAACAACCACATCTCCAACATTTAGGCTGTAAATCAGGGTACATAAGAGACATTTTTTTGTGGATCAAGGTGCCATCTATAAAACATTTTGTAAAAATTCTCCCTTAAGTTCTGGGCTTGTGTAAATTTAACATTCCTCACCCAAATAATTTCCCAGGTATCCAGTGGGATTGGTTCACCAAAATTTTGTGCCCATTTAATCATACAATCTTTGATTAATTCAGATTCTGAATCCAATTCCACTAGAACCCCGTAAACCCTCTTAATGTGAGTTTGTCTTTGATCCTTTACTTGTTTAAAAAGATTTTCATCTTCTCTAAGCCAGCCCATATTACAATCCATCTTCCACCTGTCCACTATTTGTCTATATTGAAACCATGAATAGGTAATATTTTCATGTATTAAATCTTCCAAAGATTTTAACTGCCAATTTTGACCATCCCATCTAAGTAGTTGTGTATAAGAAACCCTATCCATTTTAACTCCTCTCCTTATCCCCTCTATCGCATGCCAAGGTATGGCCCATAAAGGTATTTTAAAATCACTCTTATAATACTTCCTCCAAACCCGAAGTAAAGAAATCCTTATAATATGTGATTTAAAAACTCGATCCACTTTTTTATTAAAAATTAAGTAGGCATGCCATCCAAAAAGTAAATCCCAACCCTCCAGATGGAGTATTTCTACATTTGTTAAATTTACCCAATCACTAATCAATGTTAAAACCACAGCATCATAATATAATTTCAAATTCGGTACTTTGAGTCCACCTCTCTCACGAAAGTCTTGCATAATTTTAAGCCTTACCCTTGGTTTTTTCCCTGCCCAAATAAATTTATTAATGCCTTTCTGCCATTCATTTAAGTTAAGCTCATTCTTTAAAATAGGTAACATTTGAAACAAAAAAAGAAATTTTGGTAGCACATTCATTTTAAGCACTGCAATTCTACCCATAAGAGATAACTGTAACTTATCCCAATTCTTCAAATCCTTCTGTACCCTGATCCACAACTTTCCATAATTATTCTTATACAGTTTTGCATTAGAAACAGATAGAGTGACCCCCAGATATTTTATCTTATCAACAACTTCGAAATCTCTTAAATTAACCAAAATCTGCTTATCACGATTAATCATATTTTTAGGTAATATTTTAGTCTTATTATTAATTTTAAAACCTGAGACACAACCATATTGATGAATCAATTGTAATAACTTTACTACAGAGTAAGTAGGTTGAGACAGAGTAACCACCAAATCATCTGCAAAAGCTCTTAACTTATATTCTTTTTTGTTAACTTCTATTCCTTTTATTTCTTGCGACTCCCGAATTTTGGTCAACAAAATTTCCAATGTTAGAACAAACAATAACGGTGATAATGGACATCCCTGTCTTGTACCTTTTTCTATTGTAAAAACCTCTGACAAACCCCCATTAACAATAAGTTGAGCCGTCTGTTTTTGATATATAGCACATAAAGCTTGTGATATTTTTTCTCCAAAATTCATCTCCTTAATTAATCTTAACATAAACTGCCAATTCAGTTGGTCAAAAGCTTTTTCAGCATCCAAAAATATCAGCCCTGCAGAGATTTGGTTATTCTTATCTAAATATTCTAATAAATTAATAATTTGTCTAACATTATTTTTCATATACCTTCCAGTTATAAAGCCCGATTGATCCTTATGTATAAGCTGCTGCAGAACCCCCATAAACCTATTAGCTAAAATTTTTGCAAAAATTTTATAGTCCACATTTAAGAGAGATATAGGCCTATAATTCTTAGGTAAAGTAAGATCTTGATCCTCTTTTGGAATCAAAGATATAAAAGCACTGCGCTATGACGGAGGAATCTCTAAACCCTGTAATATATTGTTAAAAAGCTCACATAAAGGTTGAGTCATCTCTTCTACTAAAGTTTTATAATAAATAGATGTCAAGCCATCCGTACCCGGCGCTTTACCTAGTTTTAATTGCTTAATAGCTGTCACAACTTCCTCTTTAGTAATTAAACCATTAATTTCTTGTTTCTGATCTTCTGTTAGTTTAGGAAAATTGGCCTTACTTAAATAATTATTTATATCTAAAGTTTGTACATTGGTACTCTTATATAATTTCTGATAATAATCTAAAAAAGATTTCTTAATCAACTCTTTCTGGTAGACCAATTTACCATTATACTTTATTTTATCTATAATTCTCTGTCTCTGTTTCTTTCTTAATTGATAGGCCAACCATCTCCTTGGTTTATTAGCATTACAAAATGTATTTTGTTTCATGAACATTAGGTTGGTTGCAGCTTGGTCAGCCATCAACATATTAAATTGTGTTTTTAACAACTTTATAGCTTCTTTAACCTTTTCATCTGAAGGATTTGAAATCAAAGACTTCTCTTTTAGTTTAATCTCATCTTCCAATTCTTTACGTTTCTGAGTCTGCTTTTGTCTATGAACATTGTTCATTTTTATCAAAATCCCACGCATAAAGGCTTTACCTGCGTCCCATACCATTGACATTGATGTTCCCTTATACATATTTAAAGCAAAATAGTCCTTTAAGCATTCCTTTAATTTTTGAACATTTTTTCTTGTTTAAATAAGTTCTCATTCACCCTCCAAAATCTCCTCTCCTCTTTTTCAGCAGCCAATTCCATCCAGACTGGACTGTGATCCGTCAATGACCTAGAAAATTTTTTTACATTCTTCACCCTATTATATAAATCATTTGTAATCAAGAAGAAATCAATCCTTGAAAAAGATTGGTGTCTATCTGAAAAAAAGGTGAAGTCTCTTTCCTCTTGATTACGTTCACGCCAATAGTCTCTCAACTCCCAGTCCTCTTTCAAATCAAAAAAGGCTTTAGGTAGTTTAGCCTGTTTAAAAAAAGTAGAAGAACCTTTTTTGTCCTTTTGTGTATCCAAAACACCATTCCAGTCTCCCATTAATATCACAGACCTATAGTCCAACAAAGTTATTTTCTGATGTAACAATCTATAAAATTGTTCCTGTTGCTGGTTTGGTGCGTACAATCCCACTATAAGTATTTTCTTACCGTATAAGCCAAGTTCAATCATAACATATCTTCCTTGAGGATCTGATTCTACCAGACAAGCTGGTAGACTTTGCTTAACATAAATAACCACACCCCCTTTTTCCCAGGGGCAGGAGATACAAAGTGAGATCCCAAGCGAGCATTAGCTAAATATTTTTGATCTTTAAGTAAAATATGAGTTTCCTGCAAGCAGATAATATCATTATTATGTTGCTTTAGATAATAAAAGATTTTCTTTCTTTTCTGCGGGGAATTGAGACCGTTAGCATTCCAGGTCAGGAACTTTGCCATCTCCCTCAACCAGGAGCCTGGAGAAGATTCCCTCAAGATCTGCCACTGAAGAATGTGTTGCAGAACTCTTGGGTCTTGCTCTTCCCACCGGCATCGAGACACTCTCATGAGAAGATTCTTTAGCTTCTTTCTTCTGTTGTTCCTTTTCCTTACGTTTGTGTGCTGCACGGGTCATTCTCTGCTCTTTGACCTCTGCTTGACGCAGCCATTCCACCTGTCCAGCAGCCATCAAACCTAATCCTTCAGACTGCTGTTCCACCTCTTTGCCACTCAAAGCTTTCTGAGTCATAGATGAAGATGAGCCTGCTCCCAGGACCGTATTATAAAATTCTTTAGCTTTAGCAACCGTATTAAGTCTATAACGTGTCCCCGCATGGCTCAAAACAATACCCATCGGAATCTCCCATCTGAATGGCATCAATCTTGTTTTAAGTTCATTAGCTAAAAAAGCAAAGTCTTTTCTATTTCTTAAAATTTTAGATGGGATTTCCTTTAAAATGATGACATCTTGGGCAGCAATCTGGAACCTCTTGTTATAAAAGGCTTGTATAATCTCATTTCGCAGAGACCTCTTGGCAAAGTAAATCACCACATCTCTTGGCAGGTTCTTTTGTTTCGCAATCCAGGAGTTAACTCTGTAAATTTTTTCCACTTCTCTACGTAGTTCATCTTTATCTGTATTCAAAACAACAGCTAAATCATTAATCACCATCTCCATCAGATCTTGATTCATGTCTTCTTTAAGACCCCTGATTCTCAAAGCATATTCCATTTGTCTATACTGAGACATAAGAATATCATCTTGTGAGGTTTCCATCTTTTTTTCCATATCTTGGAATTTATACTCAAGGAAATCTACTTTCTCTGCAACTTCTTCCACTCTGGAGTCCAACTTCACGACCACAGAAGCCAATCCTGATAAAGCTGAAACTATATCTTGCCTCAGAATAGTATTATTCTGCACTAAAAGCTCCTTCATTTCCTCTTTCATTTCTTCTTTACTTTCAGACTTGCTCTGTTCAAGAAATTGCTTCATTTCCTCCCTGATTTGGGACACAGCATTTTCCATTATATCTTTAATATCTTGTGCAGACAACCCTGGTGGGGGAGGAGAAGGTGGAGGTGTAGCCTTAGGTTTCTGCACCGGTGGTGTTACTTTAAGTTGTTGTTGTACAGTTGCAATTACAGGAGAAGAAACCACCTTAGAAACTATGGAAGCTGGTTGTCTCTTTGAAGCCATTTTTTAAAAAATCTTATTCTCTCTTTCCTTCTCCTTTAAAAAAATACTAAAATCCTTAAAATTAAAAAAAAACCAGGGAGAGTGCAAAAAAAGAAAAACTTCCAAAACACTTTAAAAGAAAAAAGAAAAAGAAACTTAAAAGAGAAAAAAAACAATGCTAAGCATACATTTCATTTAAGTCCGTCTTTTCTTTCCGGAAATAGGAAAAAAAAAGTACTTTCAAAACGCCATTTTACTTTCACTCTCACTCTCCACCTGAAAGAAAAAAAACAAAAGAAAAAGAATCAACATAAGCTAAAAAAGAAATAAGAAGAAAAATAAATCTCTAGCTCTAAGTAAAATCCTTTAAACAGTTCTGTCCGCTTTAAAAATCACTCACCAGAAAACTTTAAGCGCGGAGATGGTAGCGGCGTTTCACTTTGTTTCTGAAGAAACAAAGACAGCTGAGAGGCGGAGAAAGCACGAACTCCGAGGGAACACTCCTTCTACCCCCCAAAAAAATCCAGGGGGGGTTAAGAGGTTCTACCTCTATTCGTGTAGTCTCTACCCCTTCCCTTCGCCCGGGAAGGGGATTTCGAGCCGCGGGCCAGCTGATGCATGCTATGCTCCGCAGATCTAACACCGTCTCAGGAGGATGGCTACAAAGTAGCCGCCATCATCGTCGCTAACCACCGGAAGTCCGCCTCTTTCTCTTGGCTTCTCTTATCATTTTCTTTCCGATGTTCCTGACATCTCTACAGTACATTTTATCCAATCTGTTTTCTTGTCCTCAGATTGATTTTGTAGTCTTAAGGAATACGTTGTTTTTTCCAATTCTTGTGAATTTTTTCCCACTAGGAATAAATCATATTTCCTTGTTTTGTTATGTTTCATCTTTAAGTCTCTATTCTCAATTTTATATCCACTCATCTGTTTTATCTGCTCCTTGTCTGTTATTGTTTTCTGGGAATTTTTTTGTTGTAAAGTTAACTTGGAAATAGATTGACTTATAGTTTCAAAATTATTTTGAATTTCTTTGTGGTTTAAAATCACTGTTGTCTGAATTAGTTCTGACTATATATCTCCTCCTCTGGAATATTTATGTTTTCTTGATATGTTCTTTCTACATGTCTCTGATCCATGATGGCCAAGAATTTGAGTCTCTTTTTTTTCTCTGCAAATAGCTTTAGAGTCCCTATTAAATAGATATTTGTAATCCAAATAGTTCAAAAAAGATTTTTTTTTCTGAAATTTATAATTCTCTCTTTGACTACAGCCCAGATTACTGTCTTTTTTTTGTCATAGCTGTTCTTTGTTGTTAAAGCTTTGAAGGTCGCAAACACAGATTAGCTTTTCCCAGGTTTTGCCAAGCCTTATATGAAAGTCATAGCTATTGTAGTCTTCATCCACCACTACGTGCCAGCACCTATTTATTTTTCAATTTCCAAAATGAATAATTGTGTTTAGAATGAAAGTCTTAACCATTCAACAATATTAGATTTATCCAAATTTAAGTTTTAAATTTCAGGTTTTATATTTATTTCACTTCCATATATTTTGATCCTCCATAAAAAGATTAATTCGCCACTTCTGTTAGTATAAGGGTCGGGTGGAAATCCCACTCCTTCCCTTTCAGAGGTATTTTGCTTCTTGGGGATGTTTTCCAGGAAATTAAATATAGAATAGAAAAGAGAAGATCAAATTTCAGAAGAGACTGGACAGCCATTTGTCCGAAATGGTGTAGGATTTCCTGCCTGAGCAGGGGGTTGGACTAGATGATCTCCAAGGTCCCTTCCAACTTTACTACTACTATTATTATTATTAAATTCCTCACCCAGTTTCAAACACGCTGTTCACAGTAGTGCTGGTTAGTACTTTTGGACTTTGGTTGCAATTAGCTTGAAGTATATTGTACAATGAAGTATGGCCAGCCCTTCTCCTGTCAAGTTAGAAGGCTTTCCCCAAGTCAAACAGAATGACTACTGTTGTTCCAGAATTGCTGTGGTACCCTTCTTTCTTTGCCACCTCTCTGGGGTAACTTAGATCCATTTAGGGTCCACTGGAAGGGCAAAATTAGCTGCGGGGGTGTGGAGAATCTGCAAGCCCACGACCGGTCACTACCGTGCAAAACCAGAAGTCTTTCCGCAGTTAGGTATAACTTTCATTACTTTTGTGATCTCATGGAAGGTGAAAATACAGCAATTATTGAACATGGTTGGGAAATCAGTTGCTGGGAGCATAATTAAGTGTCACTATTTCTCATAGGAAATGCTGGTACATGATTTTCATGAATTACGCACGAAAGTGGAGAAGATGGGACTCTTGAAGTCCAGTGTTCCTTTTTTTGCTGTCATCTTTCTGCATGCGTTCCTGCTGGATATGGCATCCTGGTTCACTATCTGGTACTTTGGAAAAACTTGGGTGCCTTTCCTTATTGGAGTAACACTATTCACTGTTTCACAGGTAACTCTTTGTGCTGCAGAGTATAGCAGGGTTGTAGAACAGACTTCAGCATACTTAATTTAGTAGTATAGTAATATTCATCACTCTACAAGTAATGTACTAGTGAATTTCTATCTCTGATCATGCAGGCCAGAATCAATTGCAATTCCCATTGGCTCCATTTATTAAAGAAGGGGAATCTCAATGTTAACGGAATTTGTAGGCAAAAATATTGTTATCAAATTTCCTCCTCATCTACACCATACCTAAATATTACAATGCAGCTGTTGGAGTCCTTTTGTATAACTTCAACCTGCCTCATTGCTATAGCTTTTAAAGGCTAACAACAATGTAGTGGGCCAGTTCACCCAACATTTATCATAAATGGAGCCCTTACTCTCTTGGACATGGTTACATTCATGCTAAAATCCTCTTCATATGGCTGGAGGCTTGAAATCATTACAGCATTACATTATAGAAGTTGATGGGGATTTATTTATTTTACTTTATTTAATTTTTATGCTGCCCATCTCCCCTACAAGATGACTCTGGACAGAATGTTGCTCCCACTCTGCTCCCATTATATTTAAAAGTTTCATTTCAATATGTAGTTGTCTTTCAAGTGTAATGCAAAGCATTCTGCATGACATGGCCTTACTAGGAAGTATAACTGTTTCTTCTTAGCCTTCTAGGAATCAGTAATGCTTAGGATGAAATGTGCTTATATTTCGGTTTAATTTTCTTTGCTACCATTGGTACATAAATAGCTGTCATTGCATTTATAAATATAATCACTTTCCAAATGAGTGCTTAAACAAAGCAACCAGTCTTTAGAAATCAAAATCTTGCTTGGGAAAATCATACACATTTGGTGTAGCTTCTTGCTTCCAGAACCAATATGGTTTCCTTCAATAGGATGAAGAAGCTTACATTTCCTTTGCTAATGTCAGTATATAAAACAGCTCCTATTGTTCTTTCCAATTTAAATTCTCCTCAGATAAATATCTGAGAATATGATCGCTTAAAATGAGCAATGAATCCTTAAAAATGGAGAACTTGGCCAAAGAAAACTCTCATACAATTCATGTTCTTCTTGCTTTCTAGGTCCAATATGGTTTTTTTCAGCATGATCTTGGGCATATTTCAGTCTTCCAGAAGCCTAAATGGAACAGACTGGCTCACACTTTTGTGATGGGATTTCTTAAGGTAAGAGTTTAAAACTGAGAGCGTGTTTGTTAACTTTGTTGAAATTAAATTATTATTGGTCACGCAGAATTGTAGGAGTAGGCCACATACATGTTTAGATTATTATTATGGTTGGTCACACAGTCAGCCAGATGTTTAGGACTGGGAGAATGTTCTTTGATGGTGTTAAAGATTTTGTCACAGGATGTAAGGTGTTCCAAGTAAAGGTGCTTTTTGCAATTGGTTAATGGTGATTTTGTCATTTGTGAATGGTTTTCAAGTGGTGGTTCAGATGTTTTTGGACTGCACCCAAGGTGCCTAGTATTATTGGTATTATCTTTGCTTTCTTTCCTCACAATCTTTCTAATTTTATTTGCAGGTCTTTGTATTGTGTAATTTTTTTCCAGCTCTTTCTCTTCTGTTCTACTATCCCAAGGTACCGTGATGTCCACTGTTCAGGTTTTTTTTTTGTCTTTCTAATGGACACTTGTTAAGTCTGAGGTGTTATATTGTCTATTTGAATTCTAAAGTCCTTAGAACACTTTAGCTTCTTAATTTTCTATTACTTTGTTTCATGGTTGAACCAGTTGCTTACTATTGTAGGCAAATGGTATTTCCTGCAGATATTTCATTACAACATTGTTGTGTGTTGTCATGCTGTTCTCTGTAGTCAGTCTGTACAGTCTTTTTCCTGCAGATAACTAGGTCATCCACTGTTTCTTCAGCTTTTTTTGCAGAGATGGGGCGTTGGTCTTACCTGAACGCTTTTTCTCAGCATGGTGATGGAGACTCCATTAGTGTGTTCTGTATGCTGTCTGTTGCTTTCTTCTCAATTCTCTCTTCATATGTATTTGTTCTTAAGGTTTGGTCTTGTGCAACCAAACTTAGCCCCTTTATCTCTTTCTTCAACTTTCATGCTCTTGGATTTGCCATGGCTTGTTGTCTGCTTTGCTTGCTAGTGTGTGTGTGTCTCTGTGTGTGTACTGGAGTTAATACTTTGGCTTTGTCTCTTTTCTGTTCTTCATTTGGTCTTTCTTGTAGGCCAGTGTGATTTCTCTGGTCTTCAGTAAGCCTTCAAGGTTTACTAGTTTCTTCTTCACTTCAATTATTCTTCCAATGCCTTTTTTTCTTCTTCAACTATCTACTCTACTTGCAATATCCCATGCCCTTGATAGGTAGAGTCTGTCAGCTTTGCTGTGTGGATGAAGGGCATGATTCATTGTTATTATTTTTCTGATCTTCCTATCTGAATCCAGTGCCTTGTTGTTGTTGTTGTTATTATTATTATTATTTACTATCTATTCTTAACAATGTGAAGTCACAACTGCCAGTTCTTTAGCTAGTGTGGGTTTTCAAATGCATTACGTTCTTCCCAAGGACCTAGGACAAAGATGATTAGGGGACTGGAGGCTAAAACATAAAAGGAACAGTTGCTGGAATTGGGTATGTCTAGTTTAACAAAGAGAAGGATGAGGGGGCATGATAGCAGTGTTCCAATATCTCAGGAGCTGCCACAAAGAAGAGGGAGTCAAGCTATTCTCCAAGCACCTGAAGGCAGGGCCAGAAGGAACGGATGGAAACTAATCAAGGAGAGAAGCCACCTAAAACTAAGGAGAAACTTCCTGACAATTAGAACAATTAACTAGTGGAACAATCTGCCTCCAGAAGCGGTGAATGCTCCAACACTGGAAGTTTTTAAGAAGAGACTGGACAGCCATTTGTCAGAAATGGTGTAGGGTTTCCTGCCTGAGCAGGGGGTTGGACTCGATGACTTCCAAGGTCCCTTCCAACTTTATTATTATTATTAATTATTATGGATCATCGCACAGTCAGCCAGATGTTCAGACTGGATTTGGCATTTTGTCTACCTATCGAGTCCTTACCCAGGACCTGGGATAGGCAGATGTGGATGTTTGATGGTATTACAGATATCGTCGCAGGATGGAAGCAGTTCCTAGTAAGGCCGCCTTTTGCAATTGACTAATAGCGAATTTGTCAATGCCAATGGTGTTCAAGTGGTGCTCCAGTTGTTTTGGGATTGCACCCAAGGAGCCTATGACTATTGGTACTACCCTTGCTTGCTTTTGCCACAGTCTTTCTATTTCTATTTGTAGGTCTTTGTATTTTGTTATCTTCTCCAGTTCTTTCTCTTCTATTCTGCTATCTCCAGGCACTGCCACATCCACTATCCAGACTTTTTTGTCTTTCTTATCGACAATTGTTAAGTCTGGGGTGTTATGTTGCAGGTGCTTGTCTGTTTGAATTCTGAAGTCCCAGAGCAGTTTAATTTTATCATTTTCTATGACTTTCTCTATTTTATGATCCCACCAGTTTTTGCTTACAGGCAAATGATATTTTTTGCAGATCTTCCAATGCACCATTGTTGCTACTTTGTCATGCCGCTGCTTGTAATCAGTCTGTGCAATCTTCTTGCAACAGCTTACCAAGTGGTCCACTGTTTCTTCAGCTTCTTTGCATAGGCGGCACTTACTGTCTGTTGCTGTCTTCTCAATTTTGACTTTGTATGCATTTGTCCTTAAGGCTTGGTCTTGTGCAGCCAGAATTAGTCCCTCGGTCTCTTTCTTCAATTTTCCTGCTCTTAGCCATTGCCAGGTTTTATTATTATCTGCTTTCCCAGCTATTTTTTTCATGTATTGGCCATGTAGTGCTTTGTCTTCCCATGCCTCTATTCTGTTCTTCATTTGGTCTTTCTTGTAGGCCAGTTTGGTCTCTCCAGTAGTCAGTAAGCCTTCCTGATATACTAATTTCAGTGCATCTTCATCATTGTTCTTCAGATACTCTGAAGAAGCCATTTTTCTTCTTCAATCATCTGATGTACTTGTAGTATTCCACGCCCACCTATTTGCCTTGGTAGATAAAGTCTGTCAATGTCACCGTGTGGATGAAGGGCATGATTCATTGTCATTATTTTTCTGGTCTTCCTATCCATTGCTTTTAGTTCTGCTTGAGTCCAGTCCATTATTCCAGCTGTGTACCTAATGACTGGAATTGCCCAGGTGTTGATTGCCTTTATGGTATTTCCTCCATTGAGTTTGGACTTTAAGATCTTCTTCACTCTCTTAATGTATTCACCTCTAATCTTTTTCTTGACTTCAGTGTGCTTGATGTTGTCAGCTTGAAGGATACCCAAGTATTTGTAGTACTCTTCCTCATCCAGACTCTTAATGTTATTTTCGTGGGGCATCTTGATTCCTTCAGTTTTCACTATTTTTCCTTGTTTGATAGTAAGTGTGGCACATTTGTCCAAGCCAAACTCCATTACAATATCTTGGCTATATATACGGACAGTGTTGAGCAGCGATTCTATTTCAGATGATGTTTTTCCATACAGCTTCAGATCATCCATGTAAAGGAGATGGGATAGTCTGGTAGATGTTTTTGATGTTTGATAGCCATGTCCTGAGTTATTCAGTATTGTTGACAGAGGAAACAATGCAATAACAAATAGTAATGGTGACAACGAATCTACTTGAAATATTCCTCTCTTGATATTAACTTCTCCCAGTCTCTCACCATTGATCTGCAACTGTGTCTTCCATTGTGCCATCGATCTTTGCACAAATTTTCTGATGTTTCTACTGACTCCTGTTATTTCTAGGCACTTTATTATCCAGTCATGTGGCAGAGAGTCAAATGCCTTTTTGTAGTCAATCCATGCCACATTCAGGTTGGTCTTCCTTTCTTGCAGTTTTCCAAGATCATTTTGTCTATTAGGAGTTGATCTTTTGTTCCTCTGCTATTGGGGCGGTTTCCTTTCTGCTCAGGTGGAAAGAGATTGTTTTCAACTAGATGCTGTTGTACTGCATCAGCTACCACACCAGTTAGTAATTTGAAAGTTGTTGGTAAGCAGGTAATTGGCCTGTAGTTGCCTGGTGTTGCCCCTTTTGCTGGATTTTTCATTATTAGGTAGGTTTTCCCAGTTGTTAGCCACTTTTCAATTTCTCCTCCTTGTAGTATATTGTTGAACTGCTTGGCAATGAGTGGGTGTATAACAGTTAGATGTTTCAACCAAAACCCATGCAGTTCATCTTCACCTGGTGCTGACCAATTTTTGATTTTCCTTGCTCTTTTTTCTACCATTTTTGTTTTTATTACTAGTTCTTTCATTTCAACGTCTGTTTTATTTGCATCCACCTCTTTTAACCAAGCCGCATCCTTGTTGTATTTCTTTGAGTTATCCCATATCTGCTTCCAGAACTGCAAAGTTTCTTCCTTGTCAGGTACTGACTGATTCATTGCAGTTTCTCCATTGATGGATTGGTAGAAACGTTTCTGATTGGATTGAAATTGGAGGTTCTGCCTATAGTTTGCAATTCGAGCTTCATATCTACTGATTTTCCTGGCTATAGCTGTTATTTGTTGCTTTATTATTTCCAGTGCTTCCTTGATCTTCCTTGTTTCTAAGTGGTATTTCTTGATTAGGTATTCTTTGGTCTTCTTGTTCTTCAGCTTCTTTTCTTTCATCTGTTCTAGCTTGCTTGCATGTGATCTTAACTTGCTGATCTTATTTTCTAGTCTAACCTTCCATTTTTGTGGTGCACTGTTTGTTTTTCTTCTTTGTTGATTTTGCATCCCAGGTATTCAGTTATAACTGCAGCTGTGCTGTACATTAGTTGGTTTGTTTCTTGCAGTGAATTGGTGCTTATACTTGATATTGCAGTATTTGCATCTTTTAATGCTTGTGCTAGCTGTTTCTTTGGAACAAGCTTCAATGCAGGCAGCCTTATTCTGTTGTTTTTGTGCTGTTCTAGATGCTCAGTTATTCTTTGTTTCAATTCTTTTATTTCTTTAGTTAGAGGGTTTTGTTCTTCCTGAGGAAGAGGTGCCTGGTTTCCAAATGAGAACAGTTGTATATCTCTGCTGGATTCCTTCACTGCCAACTCCCCCTGGTTTGCCTCTACATTCTGAATTACTTCTGGTAAGGCTTTGATTTCTTTGCCCTGGGTAAACCTTTGCAGTTCGTCCAATTCTCTTTCTGTGAATACTTTATTTCGTATTAT